GAAATGGCGTACGCCAAAAAAAATTCAGATTTATAAAACCATGCGTACGCACTGAAGACTGAAGAAGTCTCTTGGAGGAGAGACGAAACGTTTCATTAAAGAAGAACCCGTCCAGAGGACCTATACTATTTTTTTTTCCTTTGATTTTTTACCTGGATTACTGAGATGCATCAGGACATTTTATTTCTTTACTTTAAAATTTAACACCTACTTACTCGTTACAAAATTAAATCTGTTCGAACTCATCATGAAAGACGATGTTTCTGCACTTTAAAAAGTGAAGTGGTGAATTTACTCAACAAAGTCCAGTGTTTCCCCTAGGAGATTGGTTGGCGGGGAGGGGGCAACTTGTTTTATAAAAACATCAATTTACATGACTCATCTTCAATTATAGTAATAGTTTGGCTACAAGTTTGGCTACCGGTTTGGCATCGGGGTGGAGGATGCCATCATCTACCTCCAGCAGCGAGCTCTGACCCTCCTGGAGCAGCCTGGAAGCACTTTGAGGATCATGTTCTTTGATTTCTCCAGTGCTTTCAACACCATCCAGCCAGGACTTCTGAGGGASAAGCTGGAGCTGTCTGGAGTAGACCACCAAATGTCCCAGTGGATTCTGGACTACCTCACTGACCGCCCACAGTATGTGAGGACACCAGGCTGTGTCTCGGACAGGCTGGTCTGCAGTACGGGGGCTCCTCAGGGAACAGTGCTGGCACCGTTCCTGTTCACCCTCTACACTGCAGACCATCAACACCCCACACTGCCACCTGCAGACGTTCTCTGAAGACTCTGCTACAGTCGGTCTCATCACAGGTGAGGACGACTCAGAGTACCGGCATGAAGTAGTGCATCTTTAATTTAATTTAATTAATGTTTAATGAAAAACATATTTTAATACTAATACTTAAACCATCCACATTGCTGTTAAATTCATAATATAATGGCATTTTGGCTGAAATGTTTTGAAATTCTCATCCAAATGTAGCCCAGCCACTTTCACCAGAAGTGCTACAGATTGCTGTTATCACTAAATGTTTTTTTTCCACAGATTTATATGTAAATAACCATCTTTCCATTGTCTTTATCTGCTTCTTTTTCCTGGTTGTGGGCAGCTGGTACCTATCTCCAGCAATCCTGGAGAAAATCCTCTCCTGCACAGGTGTGCAACTCCTGCAACCTGCAACCTTCTCACTAGGAGGCGACAGCTGTAACCACAACTCCACTGTGCCACACATGACCATGGCTGTGTCTCAATTCGTGGGCTGGGTCCTCATGAGGATCCAGCCTAGCTGGGCCACGTAGGACACAACCTTGCTGGGCTGGGTATGATGCTCAAAACTGCTGCGAAATGAGACGGTCCAGCCTTCGCCTGACGTCGGCTTCACGTGGGTTTGCGTGACCACGTGCTCCCCCGTTACCATAGTGATCAGTTTCATGTCTGACTTAAAATGCTTCAGGACGTGTTTACACGTCTTTTTACTGGAAGAATAAATTCACAGTTTAAAAAGTAAACGTGAATAAAGAAAACAATAATTTGGGTTTAGCTCCAGTCTTTACAACGGAGATAATACATATTTTTTATTATTATTAYGAAAATAAAGTCATAATATGCG